CCGAGGCACGGGTGAGCTGCGCTGCGCAATCCTGCAGGAGGCGCAGGCGGAAGTGGCTGCTGACAGCTGCCATGATGCCCCTCTGCCCCAACCGCTCCTGCCCCACCCCCTCCTCCTGGCTTGCCCCGCCCACGCCTTCGCTGCACCCAATCACGCACGCCTCTGGTAGGTTCCAGCCACCCCCAAGCATCTCCCGCCTTGCCTTGAGCAGTACCGCCAGCACCCCGGGCGCCATGAGCAGTACATTCATCTTGACAGATACCGCCAGGCTGTACAGCACTACGGCCACCACCCAGCGCCGGCTCTGCCCTCAAAAGGGTGGAGAGGCGAGGCGGTAGAGGGGAGGGTGAGGCCGGGCGGGTGGAGGGCACGAGGGCAGGCTAGGCACCGCCGCAGAGCAGGCTGTGCCGCACGCGAGCGGCATGGGCGGCGGGGCCGGCAGCTGTTGGCCCGTCACCGCAGCAAATGACCCTCCCCCAAGCTGCAGAGGGGGGCGGGGGGCAAGGCAGGCAGGCTGGTGGGCAGGCGGGGGCAGGGGCGCCTTGCCTGCAGCGCCAGCGTGGCCAGGTATGCCGCCGCCATCGCCCAGCAGTCGTTGAACAGGCGCAGCACAAAGATGGAGTGGAGGCGGCGCGAGGCGCACAGCAGCGCCAGGCTCCAGGGCGGCAGGCTGGCGGCGCGGATGTAGAGGGCCATGGCGGCGGCCTGGGTGGCCAGGTAGAGGGCGGCAAAGATGTACTGCGGGGGGAGGGGGCGGGACGGGCGGTGGGCGGGCATCCACCGAGGCACGCGCTGGCCCGCACACACCACGCAGCTGTCCACCACCACCACCACAAGCGTGTGGTGTGCACAGGCAGCATCACAGCCCGCCCCACCTGCCCCACCACCACGCTGCCGCCCGTGACGCGCTGCAGCCAGGCAAAGAGGTAGACAAAGCCGGCCGGGTACACCAGCGGCCCGGTGTCGCCCTGCAGCTTGGCATAGTCCAGCTCGCCCTGCAGCGCAGGGCAGGGCGGGCAGCACAGGCAGCAAGGCTCGTCGGCCTGTGCAGAGCTGTGTAGCTGTGTCGGCCTGTGTCACGATATGTCGAGCCACTGCAGTCCCTGGAGGCCTGCCCGCCCCCATTGACAGCCCAGCCCAGCGTGTGCAGCCTCTGGTGTAGGGTGCACTCTGGCAGGCTGTACCAATGTGCTCCAGCGAGCTGCAGCCCTGCCGCCGGCTGACCTGGCGGTATCCAGCCACCTCCTGCATGTAAGCCACCCAGTCTATCTCTGTGTCTGCAGCGCACGGGGGTCAGGGCAGGCAGGGCAGGCAGCAGCGGGCACCGTGGGTTGCCCTCCTGCCCACCGCCGCCAAGGAAAGAGCAGGCCAGCACATCGAGATAGTGGAGGCAAGAATTGCGTGCGGCCAGCAGACCAGCAGGCTCACAGGGCACTTTGCGGATGATGAGCAGGCACAGCGCGGCCTCGGCCACCAGCAGCACCGCCGCCACCGCCAGCTGAGCTGCCAGGTCAGCGGGGTTGTTCAGCCGCGACAGCAGGGCAGCGAGGCGCGTCACGAGGCGGTCGAGAGTGTTGCCGCTGCCCGCCGCCCGCCGGCTGCGGCTGGCTTGCAGCCGAGTGCGCGCCATGGGGGCGGTTCCTGGGTGCGCCCGGCAGTCAGGGAGGCGCGGTTGCGGTGCAGCAGCAAAGGGTGGAGGGCTACCGCTGTGGTGTCTGCCCGGCAAGACGCGATGGCTTCGGCCCTGGGGCTGCAATCTACTGAGACAATAAAGATGTCGGCATCGCGCAGCAATGAAGGCTATAAAGTTTGCTCAAGCTGCGCAGAGCAGCCCAGCAGGCGGGACAGCTGTAGAAAGCCATAGCCAGCAAGATGAGGCCTCATGAGGTGCCCCCTGCAGGGCCCTGCGCCTGCATACATATTCACAAGTTATCAGGGTGCTTCCAGGACTCTAGCACCCGCAATGCGCGTCGCCAGCAGCATGCTTGGGGTGCAGCCCTCCGCCTGCAGGCTGGCAGCGCCCCTGCGGGCCCGCCAATGCAGTACCAGACGAGCTCTGGCGGTAGTGCGCGCGCAGCAGGGCCACACCGGCGAGGCAGCAGCAGCGCCGCCGCCGCCGCCGCCTGCGGCGGCACCGGCGGAGCAGCAACTCGTCGTGGCCCCTGCGGTGCCACACACTGCAGCACAGGAGGCGGAGGAGTACGTCCAGGTGGCAGCAGCCGAGTCGGACGCATCCTACGGCGCCAGCGCAGCCGCAGAGCAGCAGGCGGTGGCGGCGCGGCAGGCGGTGCCGCCGCCCGCCCAGCCCGCCCCCGGCGGCGCGCCCCTAGGCCTCATCCTGCAGCACCCGGCGGCGCGCATCGGCGGCATGGCGGCGGCTGCCTTCCTCGGCACCACGCTGCTCATCACACTGTTCCGCATGTCTCGAGACCCTCAGCACAAGCGCAGCAAGGTCATCAACAAAAACAAGGTGGGGGTCGACGGTGGGGCTGGCGGGCAGGGCCGGCTGGCAGGTGCCCGGCATTCACAGGCAGCCGTCGCACGCACACGGGGCGCAGCATCGCTACAGCCGCCCTGGCCGAGGCCGGCTGGCTGCCAGCACCCTCCCCAGCCCCTGCACCTCGCGCCTGCCTTCCGCCCACGTCCCTGCTGCCCCACAACCCCACCCCTCCTCAGATGGTGGTGGACACAATCGGCAAGTACCTGCCCGGCAACCGCGAGGCCATGAGCGCCGGCTCCTTCCGCCTGCTCAAGCTGCAGACAGGTGGGCGCCGTGGGGACCACCTCTGCTGCATGCATGGCTACTGACCTCCTCGCGTACCTGCCACCACCTCACATGCTCACACGCACGCACACCTTTGCACACACGCACCATTGCCGTGCATGTACCGCTGCCAGCCACACACGTACCGCCCCTGCCTCCCCTGCAGGCTTCACCAGCGTGGAGGTGTTCCGCAAGTACCTCTGGTTCCTGCTGCGGGAGCGCCAGTTTGACGAGGGCGCCCTGGACGACCTGGTGGCCCTCAAGGCGGCGCTGGGGCTGAGCGACGAGGAGGTGGGGCGGGGCGGGCGGCGGCGGTGGTGGCGGTGGTGGTGGTGGTGGTTGGGGTTCCACCACGGCATCAGGGGCAGTGAGGCGGTGGTGTGACACTGGGGGGAGGATGGGCGCGTGGGCCGGCAGCAGCAGCAGGCCGCGGTTGCCGCCGCCCGCAGCCTCTCAGCTTCCGTGCCGTGCGCGCCCCGCCCTGCGCTGCCTGCCTGCGCCTGCGAGCAGGTGGCCGCCGCGCTGCGCGAGCGTGCGGAGCGGGTGTATGAGAAGTACGGCACTGTGATGGTCAACTTGGAGGGCATGAGCCAGGTGGGGCCGCACCCCACACGGGCAGCCGCGGCCTCGGGTAGCAGCGAGGGGACGGCCGGGGCGGGGTGCCGGCAGCGGTGGCTGTGTTGCCTGCCGCAGCCAGGCCCCGCCCGCCCGCCAGGCGGCCCCTTGCCCGCCCGCCTCACCGCGGCGCCCTGCCCCCGCCCCCTGCGCAGGCGGGCATCGAGCGCAAGGCCTCTGCCCGCAACTTGTTCATGAAGCTGCTGTCGCTGACCGAGTCGCGGGCGCTGCTGTCGGCTGAGGCCGCCAGCGGCGTGGACCTGGGCAAGGTGTTTGGGGTGACGCAGCGGGACGTGCTGACGCTACGCAGCGGGTACAGCGCCGAGGGGGAGGGGGCGCAGCTTGAGGGGCAGGGCGAGGGCGGCGAGGAGGAGTAGCAGGGGGCGGCGGCCGGGCGCCTGCGCAGCCTTGGCGCATACAGATAGACGGATAATGTGTTTTGGGCTGCCACTCTGTTGACCGTAGCAAGGTCCCCTACATTGTAAATGTGCATGTGCAAGTGGATGCAGCAGAAACGGACAGGCACTGCGGCGGCGGCAGTGCCGTCATCGGGCTCCAGCAAGGCACACAGCACGCAGCAGCACGGAGGCTCCGGGGGCCTCCTAGAGCCTTGGAAAACATTGTAGCCGCGTAACGGTCCCTTGGAACCACCCCGAGCCCCTTTGCCCTGTCTCCCACAGCGCTGGGCAGATATGACTTCAGGCTCCTGTAGGGGCGTAGGCACCACCGGCCGGGCACCGGTGTTCATTTTCAGTCTCGCAGTGGTGAGTGGCAGCTGAGCGGCATACAAGCAGGGCCAGGCATGTCGCAACTGCCCCATGGAGGTTGCGCGGACACCGAGCAGCACGTGTCCCCGTGGCATCTGATAATAAAGGACATGGGAGCGCGCGGCGGTTGCTGTCGGAGTGGCAGCCGACTTCGGCTCCTGCCGGCGGTTGGGGTGGTGCCGCCGCCTTTTCTCATGGCGGGTGGACAGCCCCTGTTTCCTACTATAGGAACCACATTCCGCATGCTAAGCTGGTGCAAATGATGTAGGCCTTTGTGGCTGGGGCCTACCATGAGCGGTGGCTGCACAGCGGAGGCGGCGAATGCCGCCAGCGTGCCCTGCTGGCGAGAGAGGCAGTGGTGGGAAGGACAGGGCACAGCCCAGCAGGCGCGATAGCAGACGAGGAGGAGGGTAACAAGGCAGTCACCAGCTGGCGCCTGTATAGCGAAGATACGCCCAAAGCGGCAGCAGCAGCAGTGGCGCAATTGTCAGCGCTCGACCCCACAGAATGCATGAGGTGACAGGGCCCCCGCCTTGCAGACTGATGCATTCATTGCATGCGGGGCGTAGAACAGGGGGCCCAGTAACCTGCGCCGACGCAGCGGCTGCCCCCAGCGGCCAAGCACCCACTCTTTCAGCCCTGCCGCTGCGGCCTGCGTGCTGTTGCAGGCTAGGGGAGGAGTATTCTGCTCAGCTGGGGCCGGGCGCCATCAAGGAGAATCCCTTCAACCAGACATTTGCCTCGCCAGTGACAGCGGCACGGGACGGCGCCTTTCTGCGCATGGCACAGGCCACAGGCACCGACAAAGTGACCACTCACTGTGAGCCTCGTCTTCCGCCTGCTGGTCCTCGTGACCAATGCTTCAGCCTGCCGCCCAGCCATTGCTGCCGTGTCCCCACTCCATGACCACCCTCTGGTTGGCCCCAACATTGGCACACGCCCACCTTCCTCCCTCACGCAGCCTACCACTATCTTTACACTCGCTATTTGGCGCACGCCCGCTTCCACCAGCTCAACATCCTGGAGATAGGGCTGGGCTGCGACATGGGGTACGGCGCCGGCGCCAGCCTGCGCCTCTGGCGAGCCTACCTGCCCTGCAGCCGCATCAGCTTTGTGGAGTACGCCGCGTGAGTCATGGGGGGCAGCTGTGGGTGGATGGTGTGGGAGTGGGGCCAAGCGTGCTGCAGTGTACTGCAGTGCACGCTTTGCCGCGAAGTGCGGCCCGGTTGGTATCTGTGCAGCTTGCATGCATTGCGGCTGCCAGGGTGGGGCCAGAGGCAGGCCAAGTGTCAGCAGGGTTCCTGCTTCACTCCTCCCCATGCAGCAAGTGTGCAATCAAATGGAAGGACAGCATCGAGCAGCAAGGGGGCGGCAGGCTCTACATAGGTAACTGTGGTGCTCGCTGGCAGGCTGAGCCTGCGCTGATACGAGCCTGCGCATGGCAACAGCAGCGGCGTGCCCGCTCGCCTCCTTCGCCAACACCTGACCACCTGGCACTGACGCTCCCCATTCCCGCTCCTGCCTGGGCCCTCGTATACTGCCCATCAGGGTCTCAGGATGATGTGGCGCTGCTGCAACGAATCAAGGCCGATGCTGCATCCTTTGGTGAGGTCCCTTTGCCGCTTGCCATGCGGCTGTGGCCCACACCCTTCTAGTCCCCACTCTCTCCTGCTCCTCCCGCCGGGACTGCACCACCCCCCTGCCTACGTGAAAGCATGCCCCCCATCCCCCGGACCCTGCCCCTGCCCGCTGCAGGCGGCTTTGACATGATTGTGGACGACGGCAGCCACGTGCCGGAGCACCAGCAGGCGACGCTGGAGGGGCTGTGGAGCGCTCTCAAGCCGGGGGGCGTGTACATCATAGAGGTGCACAGTGTACTGCCCAGTGCTGGGGTCGGCATGGAGGGCTGGCGCTGGTGTGATGTGCTGGGCTGCAGCTGACCTTCTCCTCCTTTTTGGTGTAATTTGCTGGGGCTGCATGCAGGACCTGCACGACCATTGGAAGCTGCCCAACGCCCTGCAAGCGGTGCCGGCCCCAGCGGTGCCCTCCCTGCCGGTGCCGCTGTTCGGCCACCTGCTGCACCTGCTCAACTGCCACTCGTATGCGCTGCGCGACTACGAGCCGCGCAGTCTGGCCTGGTGCCACAACCAGGCGGTGCACTCTCAGTTCAGGTGAGAGCGGGCATGCGGAGGCGCTGGCTGTATCCTGGCAAGGTGCCAGCCTTCGTTTCTCATCATGCACGGACCTGCGATCGTTCTGATGCCATGATTGAACTGAATGCCTGCGGCTTGCCACCTGCAGGGATGTGGCCAACCTCGACTGCATGAGCGAGGCTTGCGCCCTGGTCAAGGGCCAGCCGCTCTTGCCGCCCCGAGTGGCGTAGCAGGACCAGCTGTAGCAACCAGCATGCCATGCCACCCCCCTGCTTCTGTGTATTGTAACTCCACTTACTTGAAACATGGGTGGGGGCAAGCGAGGCACTAGGCGAGCTGAAGCCTGGATGGGCGGTGGCGTACTGCTGCAGTACCTACCCAACGGCTGGAACCCCGCATCTGCCGGCCCATCCGCAATTCGCTGCACCAGGTTCGAACCGCGGCACAGGGCAGGGAGCCCACCTCACAATTTTGTGAGGTTTTGTGTGGGGGTTTGCGATCGCGCGCACCCACAGCGTCCCTAAGGCCATCGGTAGCAGCGCCAGTCCTTCTCTGGGACCCCACCATTTGGTCTGCAGACCGGTGTGATTCAGAGTCCGCTGCGATGGCAGCGCCGGGCCTGGCTGCTCCCGAGCAGGTCTCCCAGCTGCTGCAGCTGCTGCAAGCCTCCCTGAGCGCCGATGCTGCCACCCGGCAGCAGGCCGAGGCGGCGCTGGAGGGCGCCGGCTCCAGCCCCGGCTACGCCGCCGCGCTGACCGCGGTTCTGCTGGCGGCGGGGGGCGAGGTGCCGCCGGGGCTGCGCCAGCTGGCAGCCACCGTGCTGAAGAAGCTGGTGCGCGAGCACTGGACGCCCGAGTCGCCTCAGTACAAGGGGCCCGCGGTGGGGCCTGAGGAGAAGGAGGCGGTGAGAGAGCAGCTGCCCACGGGCCTGGGCGACGAGAGCAGTCTGGTGCGGACGGCGGTGGCCATGGCGGTGGCTGCCATCGCGCGCTGGGACTGCCCGCAGCAGTGGCCCACCCTCATCCCGGGCCTCGTGCAAGCCATCGCAGCCAAGAAGAACGCCAACCTCGGTGGGTGTTGGGGCGCTTGCCGGGGGCCCCCTGCGCCGCGGCTGCGAGCGCAGCTCTCCCCTTCCATCCCTGGACCCCCTGCTGCGCTGCCTGCAGTCAGCGGCTCCGTGCGCTGCCTGGCGATGTTTGTCGACGAGCAGGGCGACGAGCAGGTGCGTGCCGCTGTGGTGGCAGGCAGGCAGGCAGGCGGGCAGCGAGAGGCAGGCAAGCAGCGGCCCGACAGCCTGTGCCCTGCGCCCGCGGCTCACCCTGCACTGAGCCTACCCATCACCTTGCCCCGCACACACTGTCCCCGCACGCACTTCCCCCAAACGTGTCGGCATCACATGATGTCAACGCATCCTGCACGCACCCTTACCCCTGCCTGCCCCCGCCCTGCCAGATCATGGCCATCGCCCCCGCCCTGCTCCCCGAGCTGCTGGCCATCCTGCGCAGCGACGCGTACGGCGCCCCGCTGCAGCGCAAGGCCCTCTCCATCCTGCACACAATCCTGGAGGTGCTGCAGGTGGGGACGCCCGCCTGCTGCTGCTGCTCCTGCTGCTGCTCTTGATGGTGGTGGAGGAGGTGGTGGTGCCTGTGGAGGGCGGCTCCCGCTGCTCTTCTACGGGAATGGCTGTGCTGTGGGATCCAGCATTGGCTCGGCAGGGCGAGCATTGGCTCGGCAGCGTGGCGGCGGGGCTCGTGACGCGGTGCCCAGCGCTGCGCCCTGCCTGCGTGCGGCTGCACCTGAAACTCCTGCCAACCTGCCCGACTGCCTGGTCGACTTTCTTTCTTCCTTCCCTCCCTGCAGGAGCTGTCCAGCGGCTCCACCCTGGCGCAGGTCAAGGCGCTGCTGGCCTCCATCCTGCCCGGCTGGCTGGCCGAGTTTGGGCGGCTGCTGGGCAGGCCGCTGGACCCGCACGTGAGTCGGGAGCTGCTGCCCCAGCTGCCTGCGGTACCGGCAGGACCACCACACGCTGACACAGGCGCTCACCGCCGCACACACCACCACCACCACCCCCGTGGCCACCGCCGCGCAACACGCTACATGCGCGGGTTGCCACGGGTCTCACCTCCACCCTCCCCTGAACTCATGCCCGCCTGCGCCCGCCTACGCCCGCCTATGCCTGCCTACGACTGCCTGTGCCCGCCTGCCTGCAGGATACCGCCTCATGGGGTGTGGCCATGGAGTGCCTCAAGTGCCTCATGCTCATGGTCACTGGCTTCTCCAAGCTGGCGGCGCCACACATCGGCCCCGCGCTGACCGCGGCCTGGCAGGCGAGCGCGTCCCGGGCCACAAGCAGCGGGACGCAGCCCGCTGCCGCTGCTGGCGGCCACCCGTGCATGCTGCTCGGGCCGTGCGGCGATCATGTGGCAGCTGAGTGCCTGTAGAGCAGCACCCTGTCGGTTCTCTGCTCCCCAGCGACTTGCCAAGCTGCCTTGTACTGCCTGTACCGCAGATGTACTCCACCAGCCTGCCGCTGTACTGCGAGCTGGTGGTGGCCAGCGAGGAGGGCGCCGAGGGAGGCGTGGACTCGGGTGGGTGCCGCGTGTCGCCCCCCCGCCAAAATAATGCACCGCGCATGCTGCACGGGGCATTTCGCTGAGTGATCACAAGCCCGCCAAGCTTTGTGCGCGACCCTCGCCAATGCCTCCAGCACACATCCTCAACACACCTGAACACGCATGTCAGCCGCTGACACCCCCGCGCCGCCACCACCCCTCTCTTTCATTTCCTTTCTTTTCTCCTTTCCTCCTGCTCCTGCGTCTGCCCCCTTGCAGAGGGCGATGCCGTCGACTTCAGCGCGCTCATCAGCCAGCTGGTGGAGCTGGTGCTGGCGCTGGTGGGAAACCAGCGGTACCAGGCCATGCTGCGCGCCTCGCTGCACCAGCTGGCGCACCTGACCCTGGGCTACATGCAGATGACGGAGGCGCAGGTGGGGGTGGGGTGGCGGTGGGGTGGGGCAGCTTCTTAGTCGGCCTGGGCTCACGTCTGTCCAGCCAGCCCAGCCGGCTGGGCTGCTCACCCCGCCCGGCCGGCTGTGTCCGCTCCGGCGGGCGCAGTGCCAGGAGCGGAGCCGACTCCGTTTGGCCGCTCCGGAGGCTGGGCAGGCTGGGCAGGCTGACAGGCGTGGTGAGTGGTGTGGTGCAGGTGGGGCGGTGGGGCGACGACCCCAACCAGTATGTGGCCGACGAGGAGGATGACTTCTCCACAGTCAGGTGCGTGTGTTGATCGGTAAATAAACAAATGAACCCTCTGAGTGATTGGAATTGTGTGTCAGAACCATGTGAGAGGTGGGGCTGCGCTACGAGAGATGTATTGGGTTGGGGTCGGGGGGTGTAGAGTTTAGGGCTGGGTGTGCACACCTGCCTGCCTGCCTGCCTGCCTCCTCGCCTGGGCCTGCAGGGCTGCGGGCGAGATGCTGCTGGATGAGCTGTTTGAGGCATTTGACGGCGAGGTGGTGGCGCCGCTGGCGGCGGCCGTGCAGGCGCGGCTGCAGGTGGGGTGGGGCTGCGGAGTGGAGTGGGGCGGCTGGGTGGGAGTGGAGTGGGGCGGCTGGGGGTGGAGCTTGGGACCCCAAGTATCCGTTGTTAGCAGATGCGGTGGGACGTGATTTGTGAGGGGATGCGGGCTGGTGGGAGGTGCGCGGAGTGGCGCTGCACACCCCATCCCGCCCACCCGCACCACGCTGCCGGCGCAGGAGGCGGCGGCCAACAAGGCGGCGGGCCGCGAGGACTGGTGGCGGCTGCGGGAGGCCGCACTGTTTGCTGTGGGCACCGTCAGCGACGCACTGATCGAGCTGTCGGCGGTGGGCGGCGGCGCGCTGGCTCTGGATGTGGGGGGCCTGATGGGCAGCGTCCTGGCAGAGGACCTGGTGCCCACCGCCCCGCCCTTCCTCATCGGCCGGGCGCTGTGGGTGACGGCCAGGTGTGGCGGCGGGGGGGCGTGGCTCGGGACGGGCGAGGCGCTGGGGACCAGTGGGGGTGGCATCAGGTGGCACATGGGAGAGGGAGGGAGGGAGGGAGGGAGGGGCGGCGACGGGCGAGCAGGGGCAACACTTTCTTGCTCGTGAGTTCATTTACGGGCTCCATGCCCTCCCCTCCCGCCTGCCCGCCGCAGGCTGGCTCCCGCCATTCCGCCGCAGCATCGCGCCGCCTACATGCAGGCGGCGGTGGCGGGGCTGGCCCCCGGCAGCCCGCCGGCGGTGCAGATTGGCGCGTGCCGCGCGCTGGCGCGGGTGAGGCGGGGCTGCGGCGGCGGTGCTTTCGCCGGTGCTTGGTGCAGCGGGAGAGCAGCAGGCTGCTGGAGACCGTTTGTGGGCCTGCAGCTGTCTGCCGTGCTGCTGCCATGCCTGCCCATCATCGCCACGCCAGGCTGCTCCCACGCACCCCACCACCACCACCACCACCACACACACAAGCACCCCCGCCACCCCGCCCCCTTCTGTGTGCCGCAGCTGTGCCAGACGTGCAAGCGCGAGGAGCTGGCGGCGGTGGCGCAGCCGATGTTTGCGGGGCTGTGCCGGATGCTGGCCAGCTCGTCAGGTGGGTTAGGGCGGTGGGCTGGCAGCACGGCGGGCTGGCAGCACGGAGGGCTGGCAGCGCAGGTGCCGGCGCAGGCGCTGCACAGCACGCATGCATGCGTGCACATTGGGCGCCCACCATCTCCCTGCATGCACCGCCCCGCTGCCTTCTCACCCCACCCTCCTCCCCTGCCCTCCCCCGGCGCCCCTGCCTCCTGCCCTGAAACCGCTCGCACACTGCGCGCACACCACACCACCACCACCATCTCACCACGCCCACAGACGAGATCCTGCACCTGGTGCTGGAGACGCTGACGGCGGCGCTCAAGGCGGCCCCCGAGGCGGCGGCGCAGTGGGAGCCACACATCTCAGGTTGGTGGGTGGGTGGGTGGGCGGAGAAGGAGGGTGTGGGTCCTGGGGTGAGGGTGGGTGGGTGGAGGGCGGAACAGGAACGTAGCCAGCCTGCCGCGGCCCGTCCTTCCTCACCCTCGCCCACCCATCCACCTTGCTGCTGCCATGCACCCCACCGCCCCGCACCCCACCGCCCCGCACCCCGCACACCCAACCAACGCCTACCCACCACCCCCGCCGCCGCGGCCTCGCCGCCCCTGCCGTGCCGTGCAGAGCCTGCCCTGAATGCCTGGGTGGCGAATGTGGCTGACCCGCTGCTGTCTGTGGATGCGCGGGAGCTGCTGGAGGCGCTGGCCGCCATACCCGCCTGCCTGCCCAGCCTGCAGGTGGCTGTGTGGGGCTGTGGTGTTTGGTGTTGTTTGGTGTTGTGCTGTTTGGTGTTGTTGT